GGAAGTGACAAGACTGGTGGCTGGAAAGGGTATAGTGTCAGAGGTCTTAAAAAAAGAATGTAAGAATGTAAAGAACTAACAGTGGAGAATATATGTCAGAATAAACATAAGAGAAAAGAAAAATGTATCAGCAGCAAAGACATACATATGGGATGTGCTGTATCTGGCATGTAAGAAGAGGGTCATCATGTACAAGCCACGAGATACGATGGAGCTGTTACTTATTGTCACTTTATTGCTCTGATGAAGGGACCCTGTGTGGCCCTGAAACGTTGGCTATATGTGATATATGTGACGATTTATCTGAATAAACGGACATCATGATTTGAATGTCATTTTCTGAGTGCTGGTGATCCACACTACTTACCCCTTTATTAAAGGGGTACCCCGATGCAAATAAGCCCCCAGCCCACAGACCCTCACAATCACCGGGCCGGGGTTGTGGCGGAAGAGACCCTCTTCCCCATCGGCATGGGACAAGGTGCTTTTCCAGGGGGGGGTCCTGGAAAAGCACCCTCCCAATGCCGAGGACACGTGGCTCAATCGCCCCCCCCCCCTTTCCTGCCCTGCCAGGCCTGTGCTTGGATTAAGGGTCTGGTTGGGCATTTTAGGGGGACTCCACGTTTCCCCCCCCCATATTTTGGGGGTAGGGTTACCCCTTAAAATTCCTACCAGACCTAAAGGGCCTGGTATAACTTTTGGGGGAAACCCCATGCACTTTTTAAAAATTTGTATAACTGGAGGTGCCTCCTAACATTCCTACCAGACCTAAAGGGTCTGGTATGGTTTGGGAAGGGGACCCCAGGCCTTTTTTTAAATTTTATTAACATGTCATTTTTTTATTCTGTTCGCTGCCATTCAGCTATTCACTCACTGCTGTTCGGCCCCTATGAGAATAGGGGCGGATGGCAGCAAGTAAACTGCCGGATGTTCAGCTCAGGCGATCCAGATGTTGGATCGGCTGAGTCGAATATGTTCTTCACTTCGGCTCTGCCGAACGTGCTGAGCATGTTCGGCTGAACTGAAGGGAGCCAAATCCAGCCGATGTACGGCTGAAATCAATAGTATGCAGTGAATAGCCGAATGGAGTTCGATTCCCTTCACTTCGGCTCGCATATTCACTTGGCTGCCTAACCCCCTTGTTCTTACGTCGGTAGGCATTTCTACAGGAAGCATTTCTTAAGATATCTGCCATCTCTCCCCAGCATTTTTTAAAATACGTTCTTCAACCTCTGCAGGAACAAAGGATTTAATCCTGATGTCGTAAAAAATATATATATATTCAGCCTTTGCCAGTATTTCTTTTTCATCTTTTTTGTGTATCTTTTTTATTATTTCTTCTTAGTCTAACAATATTTTCCAAGACATTAGGTTATGAAGTGCTGGCAAATCGCATTAGTTCAAACCTCCAGACACATATCATTGAAGCAGATACAGTTTCACTTTATTAACTAGACTAAAAATATATTTGACTTTCTTTTCCGGTAATGTAGGGTAAAGTGCATTACTTAACTGCTCACAGGTTTATAGCTGCAAAAGAAATGAAGAAAATGTTTCAAATGTTATATGTCTATACTGGGAATATTCAGAACTAGGGAACATTTTTTAAATGGCTTTTCAAGTGTTTATTTATTTTTGAATTGTAGCTGGATGTTCCTTTTGTGTTTGCAATGATTGTTGGTTGCTGCTTTGAAACATAGTTACATAGTATTTGATGTTGAATAAAGACATAAGTCCATCAAGTCCAACCTATTGCGTGTATGCATACAGGTGAAACTCGAATAATTAGAATATCGTGCAAAAGTAATTGCAGTAAGTGCTGCAAAAGGGGCCCAAACCAAGTACTGAGTACATATGCATGCTTGTACTTTTCAGAGGTCCGATATTGTTCTATGTACAATCCTTGTTTTATTGATTGCATGTAATAATCTACTTTTTTGAGGTTGTGGATTTGGGGTTTTCATGAGCTGTAAGCCATAACCATCACAATTATGACAAATCACGGCTTGAATTATCTTGCTTTGCATGTAATGAGTCTATCTCATATATTAGTTTCACCTTTTAAGTTGCATTAGTGAAATAAATGAACTTTGCACGATATTCTAATTATTCGAGTTTCACCTGTATATGTTTGAGCAGGTGTGTGCGTGTGTATGAGTCCATGTGTGATCTTGTTCTTTGGCGTACCTGTACCCCTGTATATTATGCTCTCCGAGGAACTCGTCCAAGAGTTTCTTGAATGCTTCCACACTCTTAGCTGAAATCACTTCCTGCGGCAGCGAGTTCCAGACCCTAACTGCTCTAACTGTGAACTGTTGACATTTTTTTTCCACCAATTTTTTGTTGGTGCCCTCTGGTCTTTGTTACGGAGCTAACCGTAAACAGTTTGTTAACAATGTTGCTGTCACCATTGCAGAGTTTATACAGAGAATCATGTCCCCCCTTACTCTCCTAACCTCCAACGAGAAAATATTTAATTTTAACAGCCTTGTTTCATGGTTCAGGTCCTCATACCCCTTAATGAGTTTTGTTGCCCTCCTCTGGACTTTTTTCAGCTCAAGGACATCCTTTCTGAGTATCGGTGACCAAAACTGGACCGCATACTCCAGATGTGGCCTAACCAGTGATCTATAAAGTGGTAAAATTATAGATTTGTCCCTGCAATACATTCCCTTCTTAATGCAAGACAGGACTCTACTTGCTTTGTTTACAGCAGCCTGGCACTGCAAGCTGTTCTTTAGTCTGCGGTCTATGATGACCCCCAAATCCTTCTCCGTTTCTGACTTCCCTAGTGGCGCACCCATAAGTGTATAGTCCATTTGCCTATTTTTAACTCCAAAGTGCATTACCTTGCATTTATCGACATTGAACTTCATCTGCCATACTGTTGCCCACTCCCGAGTTTATCCAGGTCCTCCTGTAATGTTATAACATCTAAATCCGTGTCTATTAGCCTCCCAATTTTCGTATCATCAGCAAACACTGAGACATGGCTACTCACTCCCTCCCTGATATCATTAATAAATAGGTTAAAAAGCATGGGACCCAGCACAGAACCCTGAGGCACGCCACTCATGACCTCAACCCAGTCTGAAAAGGTGTCGTTTAGCGATACTCTTTGTACATCTTCCTTTGGCCAGTTTTCTATCCACGTGCACACTACTTCATCTTTTTCCTCACAGGCAGTTTATACAAAAGAAAAATCATTAGAGGCAGAGGGGGCAACTGATTTTGGCCCATAAGGCTGTATGCGATTCAAGTGTGCCAAACTGCAGCCTTAAAGTTGCTTGGGCATTAAAGTGAATCTGTTGCTTTGGCCTGCATGGACAAAGCACAGGTTTGCTTTAATGTGCACCTGTGCTATATGGATATGGATATAAAAATATATAGAGATTCTTAACAGTTGGTAAACAAACTTTAAATCAGTCCCCCAGTGACCTCTGTAACTGCAGGAACTGGGGAGCAATTCATCCTTAAAGTTTCCAACAGTGGCACTGAAGTTAGGTGGTAATCAGCTTCACAGCAGTGGACTAAGCATCCATGTTAGCATTAGAGAATTAAAAGGCTTCCAAGTCACTGCTGGTAGAGGAAGCAGAAAGGGGATGGGACGCAGCTTTAGGGCTCCCACTATGAACTTTGCCCCACATAACCTGCAGCTACAATGATCACGAGGGCCTATCTAAAACTCATTTAATGCTTGTTAAGGAAATTGAAGGACTTGAATAGCCTAGTCATAGTTTCACCAGAAACCTATGATGAGAAAAGAAAATAGGCTTTCATTGCTGACACTAAACACTTGCCGGTCATGCTAACATTCTGCTTTCATCCTTTCTAAAGGTGCCCATACACTTTACGATCATCTGCCGATTTTCGTATGCGATCACGTTTTTGTCCAATATTCGTAAGGTTGATGGGCAGTGTACAAGGCAAATACTGTACAATCGATCGACTTTTAACTATCCAGCAGGTTAGAAAACTTCGGTCGATCGTACGATTTTCGCAAGGTTTGCTGCGTTTCCGTACGTCAAAATATGTACGACTAACACTGCTCATGCTCAAACGGAAATACGTGCGGTCGATTACCGCAATTCATCCAGGTGTTTTTTTAACTACAGCTGATTAAACCTTGCGATCATTGCGGCAGGATGGGGCCACAGTACGACAGTTCGATCATCGGACGAAAAGTTTCGTCCGATGATCGCAAGGTGTATGGGCAGCTTAACTCAGACCTGGAACAAATATGCACGTTGGGAATTTGATCTTACTTGTGCCATACTTGCACTGGGTCAATGACTAAGAAATTAAATTAAACCAGTAACAGCCAGGCAAGTGGCATTTTTCATAAGAGATTAGCAATGGCAGTACCCATATTTACCCTGCAAGTCAGTACACATTCTAATTATTATTTATTACTGGTATGTATATATCACCGACAATTTACACGGGACACTGTACATAGTTGCACATTCACACCAGTCCCTGCCCCCAAGAAGCTTACAATTTAAGGCCCCTATCTCACATGCATACGAGGGCCAATTTTTAGACAGAAGCCTATTAACCTACCAGCATGTCTTTGGAGTCTGGGAAGAAACAAGAGTACCCAGAGGAAACCCACGCAAGCAAACTCCTTGACTATAGTTACCTGGCCAGGATTCTAATCAGGGACCCCCAGTGTTTCCAGGCAGAATTGCTAACCACTACACAACTGTGCTGTTCGCACCCATGACCAGGGTCATCAGGGGGCCCATAACCAGATTAATTGACCAATGGTTTGAATATTACCAAGTTTTAAATACACTGTTGCACTAGTCCTAATCTTGCCTTGCATTAATTGGTTTCTCCTGAGTACTCTGGTTTCCTCCCACACACCAAAAGCATGATGGTATATTTATAAACTTTATACATAAGCTATATACTTGCATACTTAAACTATATACATGCATGCAATACATAATTACACGTCGGCCTGTTCTTATCGCCTTTTCAACACAGCAACTTACCGCATTAACACCAAAGCCTCCATGAAATTCTTCAGGAGTAAATACATATAGCAAGCCAGCTCCAATTGCAGCTCCCATCAGCTGCGCACAGACATAACAAATGGCACGAAACAAGGAAATCTGAGATGACACCAGGAATGCCACAGTCACTGCCGGATTAAGATGGGCGCCACTGATATGCCCAAGGGACTGGACAAGCGTCCCAATGCCCAGACCAAAAGTGAAGGATATCTGCAAGATTGATGGAAGTTCTGATGGCCAAATCAATGTAGAGCCAAGCCCGAAGAAGACAAATATCAACGTCCCCAAAAGTTCTGCCACAAATGCCCTTGTGAATTTCCCAGTACATATCTCCATTATCATTAATGGTTAATGTACGACCAGGAGAGAAGAGAAACTCCTTTTAAGAAATGTTTGTCTTCTGTAGATCTCAATGAATGATATGGGCAGGAGCACAGCAACAAATTATATACAAGGTAGGAAGATTGCAGTGTTACAAGGGGTGGCACCCAGTCCACACAAAATGATAGTTCCTATCCATCGCAGACACAAAACTTTCCAGCTTCATACTGTTACAGAGGCTCCTTCAGTAATGATACAGGTGAGCTTCCATCCCAAGGGATTATGCCAGTCTAGGAGCTGATAAGCATGTCTCTCCTCTGTTCACTTGCAGCTTAGATGATTAAAATGCTACTAGAAAGCAGGAGACACTTTTCTTACTACATGCAAGTATTGTCATCTGTAAACACATGTGATCTATCCATGCCACATTGTTGACTTGTTAGAATGAGACACTAAGATGGAAGTCAATTACTTGTATACACTCATTATATACTGGTTCTGTCTCTTATTAATTGTTCAGTAACTGGAAGTACCAAGGCTTCATGCTGCAGTATGTTTTGCTTTCCTGCTTTCAGAAATCATCGGACCTTAATGAAATGATGATCTAAATGCATGAATGCAATAGAAATGTCCCCAACTTAAGTAAGTATGGATGAGCAGATCCCAGGTAAGACCCATTGGACAGGAGTGTTATAAACCGCTCCACAGTATGCCTAAATAGATCTAAACCCTAACTGACTGACAGTTAATTTGGTAACTTGAACAATTGCCATGGTTTATTTTCTATAAAATATTGTAATCACCCTTTTTCATTCTTTTTTGTATTTGAGTGTTGCTGAATGCTGATCTTCTGTAACTACTTCCTGTCTGCTCTTCATACATTCACTCAGGGTAGGGATGTTCAGATACCAAGTAACATACTTGGTAAAAGTACAAGTACATATACAGATACCTTTCCAGCTCCAAGACTAGACTAGAGAAGGAGGAGGCAGCTGTCATTTTTAAGTAGCACATGGAGCTCCTGGGATTTGTGCATCCCTGTTTTAATGTATGGGTTTTTAAATCGATATAAAAGGGATGCACTCAGTACAAGTACTGATACTTGTCCAAGCACTCACAGATACAAGTACTGATACATTTTTGTCTGTCATGTGACAGTTTTTCTAAAACAATACAGACTAATGATTTCAGGACAGTGGTGGAGAGCCAGGTCCCAGCTGCAGCTGCTGCAACCCTGGTAGTTCTCATGAAAATACCATGTATCGGCACTGGTATCTGAACATCCCTAACCCAGGGTCATCTGCAAACCATTGATTCTTATCTCAATCACCAGGGCGACAATCCAGGGGCAAAACTTAGGGGTCTATTCACAAAGCTGCCGAGGGCAGCCGAGTGAATGACCGATCTGAAGTGAAGTGAGCCGAACACTGTTCGGCTATTCACTTCAGGCTGGTATGGCTAATTTCAGCCGTACATCGGCTGAAATCAGCCGTACATCGGCTTGCTTCGTGTGGCTTCAGGTCGGCCGAACATGCTCAGAAGGTGCAGAAGGAGTTCGACTCAGCCGATCCAAGAGGCAGTGCTTCTTCTGTCCCTAGCCACCATTTTCACTAAATACATCTTATTTGTTTTCCTGTTGTTTCCTTGTTTTCTGAGCACATGTGCACCTAGTGCTTGAGCCGGGGAATTATATTTCCACTTTGCAAGGTGTAAATATTAGGACTTTCAGCTAGGTGCACAAGCGCCACCAATTCTGCACATATCCACCTAGGCACTAGCCAGGGAATTGTATTATTTTCACATTGCTGATATGAAGGCAACATGTAAACAATGTAATTCCAGGGTAATGCACTGGATGCTCATGTGTGGAATTGGTGGCACCTGCAGACCAACAGGGTTATTCACAAAACAGTGAAGAGTTTGGAGAAGGCAGGGGACGTGAACAATCTAGGGCAACATAGCTGAACTGGAAAGTGAGCTGAATTTGAGAATCGTTCCAAATCAGCTATGTTGGCCTCAATTTTTCACTTCTCCTGCCTTCTCCAAACTCTTCACCCTTTTGTGAATAACCCTGCAAGTGTTCTAAACTTCTAAAGCTGCCTGAAGACTTCTGGGATATATGGCATTCATGTCCTTGAAGTCTGCAGGCAGTAGGCTATATAATTCTTGGCTAGGCAAGAAAGGTGGAAGTCAAGAGAAGGCATAAAAAAGGTATTTAATTTTTGTGTGTGTGTGTGTGTGTGTAGTGTAAAAAGAGGATGAAGGTTTGCTGAAGCATTGCCCTAAAAAGCTGCTTATTTTAAGTCGTTTATGATTTGCATTTTTATAGGAATAGCCATCTAAAAGCAATACCTTCTTACATTGTACTTTATAAACGCAAACCTAACATGGGCTAGAACCAAAATATCTCACCGTTAACGACAGGGGTGAAGTGCAGACACTTTGTTTTTCCTGCAAGTTCCAGTGTAAGGCTTCATTTTGATATCTGTATGGACCCCCTTGGATCCTCGGCTAGACAATACATGGGTTTTACAAAGTCTGCAGTGATATTTAGCCCCTCCTTCTCCAGATTCTAAGCCCCATCCAATGTTATTTTGTTGTCAAATGCCTGATTCTTCAATAAGTAGCAGAAGCTTTGAGTGAGGGTGTGTGTGGGGTGGGGTTTAGTCTTGACTTGTCCAGAAGTCAAACCTCATGAAATATGAAGTCTTAGGATCTAAGGGAACTCTACAGGGCCACAGGGATTTGAAGACTGCCACAGGCACCACAACGTTTCTGCCCTTAAAGCAGGACTCTGGGCAGAATTTTTCTTAACCCTTGCAGTGGGGCTATCCATGCACTGCGAGGGTTAAGTGTTCATTTTTGTCTAGGTGCTAAAAAAAAGTTATACTCACCTGATCCTTGTAGCAGGCTTTCTCCCTCTCTCCTCTTTCCCCCTCCTCTGCAGCAGTCTAAGGTACCGTAATCATCACAATTACAGTACGTTAGATCGCTCCAGAGGAGGGGGAGAGAGGAGAAGGGGCAGCATTCTGCCTTAGTGACATGTGCTCTGCTGCGGGGACATGTATTTTGCGAATACATGCCCCAAGGCAGAATTCTTCTCACCAGGCTGCTTGTCTATATCACCTAGGTGACATCCACGTCTGGACCGTCGATGCTGGGCCCCGGCCTCCTCTACTTCCAGACCGGCGATGCTGAGCCCCAGCCTCTTCTCCATAGGCCGACCATCTCTGCTGGGCCCCCCAACCTCCATCCTTCTCCCGGGCCCAGTCCTCCCCTGTCAATGGGCGGCAAAAACCCCCAGCTTCTAGCCCTGGGGCGGCCGCTCCGGCTTCACTACTTGTAGTTCTGCCCCTGGGACTTTCCATGGCTGTGCCTGCACCGGGAAGGAGGAGGAGAAGATAAAGAACCGGACACTGACATGGACAGCTGACTGCAGGTCCCCAGCAGGCTGCTGAGGACAGCCGCCGCTGTTTAACCAGTTGACATCCGCGGTGTTAAACCCCCTTCCCATCCAGGCCATTTTTCAGTATTCAGTGCTGCGGTACCTTTTTTGGGGACAGATAGAGCTTTCTTTTGGTGGTATTTATTCACCACTGGGGTTTTTATTTTTTTACTATATTAAGGAAAAATCACCGAAATAAAAAAAAAAAAAAAACAGTTTCCCCTATATTAAATGATAAAACATTTATTATTACCCAATTTTTTGGTAAAATATAAAAGACGGGGTCACGTCGGGTAAAAAGACACCAAACATGTCAAGCCTTAAAATTGCGTGCGCGAAAATGGCCAGTATCGGCCTTAAGAATCGGGGCATTTTCACGAGTACAAGTAATCGTGAAAATGCCTGGTATGGGCCCCGATACCGATACTAGAATCGGTATCGGGACATCCCTACCTGTAAGCTAAGAGGTCAGATCATTTTCCAGGACAATATTGATCCCTGGCCCACTAACTTGAATGTCTATTATATCCACTTCATCTAGACAGCTGGTTCAAACTGGTGAGTGGCAGTTTGATTAAAATGTATATAGTTCTTTACTGCGGAATGCCCAGAAAAAGGAGACAATTGTGTTAAAGATATACAGTATATATGACTGTGCACTTCTGGAAAAAGTGTAAGGTCCCTATCTTAAAAGCACTAATTTTGCCAGGAGCCAATTAACCTACCAGCATGTCTTTTGAAGTGTGGAAGGGAGAACATGCAAACTCCATGCAGATAGTATACTGCTGGAACCTGGAAGTGAACCGGGAATCTCAGTGCTGCAAGGCACAAACACATAGCAATAATCAACTTTGAAAAAATAAAAACTGTGTAAGACACAATACAGCATATAAAAGGTCAGGTTTATGTAATTTTCTAAACAGTATATAGAGCAGTATACATTATAGAGCTTAGCACTCAGGACTATGCAAAGTGCCCAGAGTGTAGCGGTCAGTACATACTTACATTTTGGGCCAGTTGAAGGATGGATCCTTCAGCATTAGTGGTCAGTGGGAGAAAAAAAAATGCCCTGGCGTCAATGATTCCTGGGAGAAAAGAATGTTCCATGTTGGGTGTCAATAGGAGGAAGATTGCCCTGATGATCATTTTTTTTAGAAACTTTAATATCCGCATATCCCCCAGTTACATTGGCAAACAGTATGAGGGCACTCTATACTGACCACCAGGGACCTTACATACTTTTCTAGAAGTATGCAACCTAGTCTCAAAATATCACCCAAACCATCCTCTTCGCTCCTTCCTGGACCTCCTGTTCTCTAACTCCTTTGTCATCTCATCCCTTGCTCACCTTCAGGACTTCTCCAGAGCTCCTCCCACCCTCTGGAATGCCCCCAACCCAACCTGTCCAGCTATCTTCTACTTATTCAGCCTTTTCCAAACAATTGTACTTTTTTTTCTCCATCAACTCGTGCCTGCTTAGTTTTTATATTTTGCATCATTTGCCCTTCTTATAGTTAGCTGTCATGAACAGGTCCCTCCTAACCTTCTTGTCTTAAATTGCTTTGTAAATTTTTTGCCAGCCTTATTTGATCAAATGCTGTTCAAACCGCTGGCACTATTTTAATTGTGCATTATAATAATTACATAATAATGATATGCTTATAAATTCAATCAGATAATAACAAGTTCATAGGATACAAAAGCGTGACCGGATGCAGCAGATTATAATACATAGTTAGATGGTTACAATAGCCATGATCATAATTGCACATAATGAGAACTCCTAATGTTGCTATAACAAATAATAATAATAATAGTAACTCTGTATCTAGGATGCTGACAGCAAATTAGGAGAATAGTAGATATTAGATGGCAAAG